TCCCAGTGAGAGCAGCCTGGGACTTGCAGGTGGAAACAGGTCATCGGAGCATTTAGCTCAGATGGAATGTGTGGGCTTGAGGGGAACAATTGCTTCCGGCAGTGAGATCCTAACAACTTGGCTACATTTAACACAGGACACTTAGTGTTTATTGAAAGAATTATTCACGTTTGTAATACACTTTTGCCACTTGTGAAGCTCAGAAGTGTATGATTTTGCTCTTTCGTTTTAAATTCTTAAAATAAATTAAAACCTGTAACTTATCTTGGTTTTTTTTTTTTTTCTTTCTCCAGAATATGCCAGATCCTCACAACCTTCCTATAGTGGCTGGTTGGAAAAAATACCCTCTCTTTTTTGGTACTGCTGTATTTGCTTTTGAAGGCATAGGAGTGGTAAGGATTTAGTCTTTGTTATTATTTTAAAAAAAATTTAAGTCAACACAAGGAGTTATGTAGTCAAGCTACATTTTAAAAACGTATGTTTTTTCTTTTTATCTTTTTCCCTAGAAAACAGTTTGCAATTTGGTGTTATAGACTTGAATTATAGTTTCGTTCTCCTCCCACTAACCAAAAGTTTAATCATAGATGTATCACTTAAACTCTCTAATTCTCTTTTTCTTAATTTGTAAAATGAGGGCATTAGAATAGGTGATTTTTAACATTTCATTATGGAAAATTCAGACCTATACAAAATTCAAAGAATGGTATGATAAACTCCTGTGTAAGCACCCAGCTTCAGAAATCATTAACTTATGGCTAACTTTGTTTTACCTATATTCCATCTGCTTTACCAAGTCTAGGTTATATTCAAACTAACTCCAAACATCATGTTTTATTTCCTAGATGGTTTGAAATGAATTGAAATTGTTACAAAGTTACTGTTACATAAGAAGAGTGAAATGTAAATTCTCCCTTCAGATTTGGGCATATCATATTTTATTTGAGAAATAATGTTATCATAAAGCTAATACTAAGAGATGCAAGCATCGTGAGGATGCTGAGCTCTTACATATTTCGATTCAAGGTGCTTCTAGTTTATTTAAAGCCTAGATTGTGTAGATTTGGGGAAAATAGAATATTGCTATTTACTCCATAGCCTATATTTCACAGCCTGATGGTTTGGTATGGGAGCAAAGCCACTTATATATTTACATGCACTACAGACAAAATTGATCTAAAAGACAATTTTATGCCATTTTGCTTGGGTTTCTGCTCTCTCTGAATTATCCCTTATGGAATTCTCACTAATTCTTACAGCCCCACTTATTCCTGTTACAGACATAACTGCAGACTTTCATTTCTGTCTTTCACTAGTAAGCTCAGCTAACTGCTGGACATTTCCAGTTAAGTGTTGTTCTTCTCACATCTCAAATTCAACACATTCCAAAGTCTGACACATACTTTTGTTTTAATCCTAAACCAGTTTCACTTTCTCATTTCTCTGTTTGATACTTTTACTTTCAGTCACTGAAGCTTGAAACATCAAGGTATCTTCACTCTGTCCCTGGTTTCCTCATTCCTGTCCATAATTAAAACATGTTGAGTCTTCTTTTCATATTTTCCCAAGTCTGTTCCGTAAGTGAGGTTGTATGTAAAACATGGACGGTGCTGCTTGACCCAGAGGGGGCCTCTGTGAATGTTAGTCCTTCCCTCTCTCCTCTTCCGGCTGCACGGGCACCATTCTTGACCTCAGCCCCTATGTCAGGTCTGGATTATCTCCGAGACATCCCAATTATTCTCTGTTCTCTTTTCTATTAATCACTTTAAATTTCCATATGGACCTGACTAACTCACCTGAAAAGTGGAGATATCATTAGTTATTATCTCCTGAGGTTATTGTGAGGCCTTTGTGAGATGCTACATGCCAAGCTTTTAGATAAGTACCTGGCACATTGTAAGCACTCAGTAAATACTTATTATTGTTATTACTGCTTAGTGTGTTTTACTGTATGGTCAAATTGTATAGCCGAAACCTCCAAAGATTTGCCTAAAAAATTGAACTTTTCAACTAGCCTTTTTTTTTAATTTAATGGGTTTTTTTTAAATGAAAATATTTATCTCACAAAATTGACACACAGTAGATACAGATGGATGGATATAGAAACAATTAGACACATGTGTATACATGGGTCAGTGTAGGTCAGTATACATAGGTATATTTCCTAGCTCTGTCCACTTTGAGAGCTGGAAGCAGTGACACCCAGTAGCAGTGAGCACACCCAGCACCCAGATGGTGGTTGCTAAATACTATCCTCCAACAAAAGAACTGAAGTTGTTTGGATAAGTGGCTGATTGTAGGGCTGAAGCAGGGACATTCAAGATGAGTCTGGAACATCTTGTAGTGTCAGGAAGCATAGCAGTGCTCAAAAAGCAAACGAATGGATGCATGTCAGAGGGACACAGGAACCAACCTGATAGAATTCCCAGAGACCAAAGCCGGAACAATACATGCAATGAAATGAATAACAGTGTTCTGGATTCATACTCAAAGTATAGAACAACTATACATGCATTTGTACTGATATAAATAAATGATTAAATAAATAAGTACATAGGGCAGATTTCCAAATAACTTATGTAGGACCCCCCCCCACCTCCCAAGAAGCTGTAACTTAATCCCCCCCAGTCCCTGGAGTGACTTGCTTCCAATGACTAGAGCATGGTGAAGGGGAGGGCAAGAACTTTACAGGCAGGGAAACCTGGCAAACACTGCCTTAACCAAGTGATCAAAATGAACTTCAGTGATCGATCATGGTGATGGCATGTGTGTTGTGAAGGGCAGTGCACCTCTGTGGTTTCTTTTTCTAAAACCTACAATCCCAGTCTGGTCATGAAGAAAACATCAGACAAACCCAAATAGAGAGTCAGGACCAGAGACCTAACCAATATCCCTCAAAACTGTCAATAATGAACAATAAGGAAGGGTTGAGAAACTTATCACAGACCAGAGGAGGCTAAGAAGACAAAACAGCAAAATGCAGTGTGGTTCCTGGACGGGACTCTGGAGCAGAAAGGGGACATTAGTGGAAAAACGAGTGAAATCCAAATAAAGTCTGGAGTTTAGTAGTAATGCGCCAGTATTGGTTCTTAGTGGTCACACATGCTCTTCGGTTGTGTAAAATGTTAACAGTAGGGGAAACTGGTCAGGAGTGTATGGGAGTCTTCTGTTTATCTCTGCAATTTTTCTGTAAATCTGAAATTGTTCCAAAGTAAAAAGCTTATTTTAAAAAGTTGACAGACCAGTTTGCCTGCTAAGAGCTGATTTCAAATCTTTTTATTTTAAGAATTAAAAAAATCTGTAGTATGAGAGATATGCAACACTTAGAAAATACATCAACAATTATAAGTTTTATCTTAAAGGAAAAAAGACTTGCATGTCAACTATAGAAACTATTATTGTGTTACATATAAGATAGGGTATCAGAGTGTTTTAAATTACTTGCATTCTCTTCTTAGGTCCTTCCACTGGAAAATCAAATGAAAGAGTCAAAGCGCTTCCCCCAAGCA